GTAAATTTAGTCATTTCTGGACCGATCGCAGAATTCGAAAACTATTTGGTATATTTTTTAGCCAGAAAATGTATACTGGGTGTTTCAAAATATATGGGACGCACATCAAGATGTGATAGGGCAGCTCAAAACAATAATAAATGATCCTTCAAAGAATTGACCAGAACTCTTTTGTTTTCAAGTTGTTAAAAATACCTACCGTTTTTTATTCCTTCCGATACATTTGAGATGATTGAACCAAGTTTGCTTCATTATACCTATTTATCGTTCTCTGTAGTGGGAGAAATGAGAGGACGCGTCCCACATATTATGAAAAACCCAGTGTGATGAAATCTAGCTATGTGATTATTCCAGTAATAGTTTTCGGAATTCATGATTATTGGTTTAGAAATAACCAAGTTACAAGGTTGGACATTTTTGGAGTATCACCCTGTATATTTCGAAAGATCCTAGTAATGTTACAAGAGAGTCAACAATAATGAAACAGGTATGTTATGAAATCGTCCAGGGATATGTACTTTTTACATTCCGAAATGAAGACATGGTACGTAAATGCCTTATCGCAAATACTATTTGAGAATGTACTTTCACTGTAACAAAGCTGTTTCATGACACGTATCAGTTTCGACTCTTACTCAACGTTCTTGCGACGTCCCGCGATATTGTACTGTTGGTGGACATATAACGACTCTAAGATAATCTTTAAGATGTCAATAGCACCAAATTCACAACGTAACAACGTATCTTCGTTACAATGAAATAACGTTAATAGTATGAGTTTTTGCACAGTGGGAAGCTTTCTTCAAAAATACACTAGAATGTCGCAACTCTGTTGCCTCCATATTTGGCAAAAGATCCAAGGAGTGAGCCAGTTTCTGTTAGGCAAGGAATAGTGATTACTTTCAAAATGATGTGGAGATAAATAATATAATGGATGTGGGTATCATTTCAGGGATATAAATATAAATTCATAAATGATATCAGAACATGAAATGTTGATTTCCAACCAGTTTCTAACTTACTAAACTTTGAAAATCTGGTCCTGTATCAGAAACTAGATGGCAGTAATGACAGAAGACATGTATCGCCCTGGAATCTAATTTTTTTTTATAACTGTCTCCAATTAAACTCTTAAGTCTTAAATGTTTAAATGTTTAAATGTTAAATCTTAAATGCTTAAAGTTTTTATGAAGTCACCCTGAATGTTGTAATCATGGATAGCGAAGCAGAGTCTGTCAGTTTGGCATAAAATAATAATGGCTGTACTTGTCAGAATGAATCACTCATTCATAATATATAATATAAATGCTTCTTATGCTTCGTGAACGTGGAATAGTCTATAGCAGAATGTCACTCTGTTCTGAGTATATTCTCATAATTCTGTCTTTCATTGTTAATTCAATTGTGTTGCTCGGCAACATGATTTCGTGAACAATCAAGCAACAGAATTATCTCGAATATTGAGAACATCGTGATATAACTTATGACTATTTCATTCATCACATAATCTGACCAATCACAAGCCAGACAACGTGTGCTTATCGCGAAAATATTACCTATCTTTCAATTCTGATTGGTCTATCAGCGTTGATGTTTTCAACGATGTAACCATGGATAGCGGAGCAAAGTTTGTCAGTTAGGAATATTAATTATGGCTGTACTTGTCAGAATGAATCACTCATTTATAATAAATGCTTTTTATGCTTCGTGAACGTGAATAGTTTAACAAAATACCACTCTGTTCTGAATATCTTCTCAGGTACAGCAATACCCTCGTCTTCGCGGACTCATGATGGTGTTGCTCGATAACACAATTTCGTGAACAATGAAGCGACATAATTATCTGAAATATTCAGAACTTCGTGATATTACTCATGATAACGATCACTTTGAGCCAATAACTTGCGAAATCAGTTTTTTTTTTCCTGAAATTAAGAAGGATTCGAAGATCCTTGTTGCTTCACCTTGTGTAAGACTTATACATTGTATTCATTCAAAATGTCATATCAATCATGTTGCCCAATAGACAAAAATAATGTGTATATACAGGGTGTCCCGAAATTACATAGAAAGATTGCAACCACCGATTCTACGAATAAAAATAGTAAAAAAAAACATACAAACATGAGCCCAGAAATGGCCCCCTGAGGAGTTATAGCCATCTGAAAGAGGGCCCGAGATTATGGATTTTTGTAGATATTTCCGAAACTTTCTGTGTTGAGAGGGCCTAGCAACAACCGTGAAAAACGTGAACTTTTTTCACTCGTTTCCGTAAAATAAAGAAACAGAGAGTATTTTGAAATTGAAGAATTACAAACTCAAGGCACACAAAATACATTGAAAAAGTGCACCTTTTTGGACAGTTGTAAATAAAAAAGGTTTCGATAAATTTCAGGGATTTTAAATGATTTTTAGGGAATCTCAATGAATTCTCATATTATATGATAATATCACAAGTGATACCACTTTGCCGGACATATTCGGCGATTGTTACGATAGGTTGATGCCTAATAATTTCGCGAATGACATTGTTTATCAAAACTTTGGAGCCGTAGGCGAGAAGTTTTGAATCATATATTGGCATATCGATACAATCAAAAATCACTATCGCCCACCCCTAGCTAGTATACCAAATTGCTCATTAATTGACGAAACAAGGTTTGTTCTCTCTCTTCCAGTTTTACTGGAAACGACCCCAACTTTTGATTTTTAAATGGGACACCCTGTATTGTATTCCATAATCGGTTAGGGATTGTCATAACGAAATCATCGATACCGGGTTTGATAGGGTTATTGAATTCGTCATGATAATCCCTAACCGATTATGGAATACAAAACAGGGTGTCCCATTCGAAAATCAAAAGTTGAGGTCGTTTCTGGTGAAACTGGAAGTAATAGAGGAAAAATTGTTTGATCAATTAATGAGCAATTTGGTATACTTGCTACCTACAAATTTTCAAAACCCTATCTCTGTTCAGTCATTCGGTAGTTTTACCTGGAAAGTTTTCCGGGAGTTTTGAAAATTGGTGTTTTTATAGATTTCGACGTGCTCTTTTCGAATTTTCACTTTGCCACCTCGTATCTTTGCTGCTCGCTCAACAACGCCCAACAACAGTTTTTTCACGATATCTCCTTTCCTACCCATTTTATGATGAAAATAGTTATCTGATATATTAAACTAGAGAAAATTTCCTACAATTTATGTGATAACTTTTTTTTCTTCTAAAATTGATAGTTTTAGCGTATTAGCGCCGCGAAGTCTAATACAACACGCGCATCAGCGAAAAAACTCATTTCCACACCACCATGAGGTAGAGTAAGTGGCGCGTTTTTTTTTGTGGTATCCCCAGTAGGCCTAATCCACATGTATCACACTAATGATGACATTTAGTGCATTCTCCTTCGCTTCGTCATCCCTGATGGACCAGGTTTTGCGAGTTCATCGTCTTCACACCTGAGCAAAACGCCACAGACAGAAATGTCTTCCACGTTATCTGTGATAGGGTTATCAGCTTCGAAGTTATCAACTTCTTCCTCGATTTCGTCATAGGAACAGTCTCCGTTTCTTCCTCTTCATCGCTATCTTGTAGTGAAAATTACAAATTCTCACATGTACCATTGCAATTCGTGCAAATAACGGAGCACTTCAATCCAGCCTTTCTGCATACACAGGCTCTCCGACATCCCTTTTTGCATTTGCAAGAAATAAGTTCCAACAAGGTTTCCGGAGCTGGCGGGTCGAGTGTGATGACAGGAATTAGCCCATTCTTTGTTATTTTCCATCCCCATCGCTCTGCATTTTGATCCAATCCATACCACTGCTGCACCTGGTGATAGGTTCGGAACAAATGTTGTCGTGCTGCTGCTTCTGTCGGTGGCATGCAATATTGAACTTATTTTTATATGCTGATTTTGTGAAGCATCTGTATCTATAGTTGTTTAACGACATACTTTTCGCCCCACTGTGACCGTACGATGCAAGGAGGAAGCATTCTCCAGCTTCAGCAATGATCTCTGGGTCGGCATTCTGGTTTTTAAATACCTGGACAAGCTCGATTAAATCTGTTTTTTTTTTCGGAGTACATTTATACATATTATTTTCCCTTGATCGAAGAGTGCGGATGTTGTATCACAGCCAATGAAGGCATGTAAGAATAAAATGTTATCTGCGGCTGTTTTATCTATCATACTTCTTGTTGAATATATTTGGTGCACAATTATTCCTCTTCCGGGTTTGAGAATGTATAGATAGAGCCGTCAAAATATCGAGCAGATTTATACACACGCGTGGGTATAGAGCATCAGCTATACGCGTATTCCGTATAGCATGCTCTTTATATACGAAATACGTGTGTTCGTGTAGATGTGTGTTGGTTGGCGGCACTCGTACGCTGAAACCATCAATTTCACAAAAAAAAGGTCACCACATAAATTGTGGGAAATTTTCTCTAGTTTAATTCATCACATAACTATTTTCATCATAAAATGTGTAGGAGAGGAGATATTGTGGAAAAACTGTTTTTGGGCGCCATTTTTCCAATATGACGGCGTGAGCGGCAGAGATACCAGGTGGCAAAGTGAAAATTCAAAAAGAGCACGTCGAAATCTATAAAAATACCAATTTTCAAAACTCCAGGAAAACTTTCCAGGTAACCCCCTTTTTGAGCACCAAATGACTGAACTAACAGTCCTGTCCGTTTTTTTGTGCATTTCTCTGTATTCGCGATAGAAAACAGGCGTACGCCACCTATCGGAGTTCTTGGAAGCTGTTAAAGCGGCATGTTTACTTTGTTTCCGTTGGTTTACTTTTTTTTCGTTGGTTTACATTTGTTTTTTGTTTGTGCTTATTGGTCATATCATCAAAACAAACCGCTCAGAGGTGTTCAAGTTCCTGCCGTCAGGTGGAGCGACGTGTTATTTTCTATCGCGTATAGGAGAATTTGAAGCAACTCTGGCTGAATGCACGATGAAAATTAATATTTCATCGTCCTCTCTTCCAGATTCAACACCAACAAGGACGGCTTCCTCAGCCTCGACGAGCTGAAGCGCATGATGGAGGTGCTCGGCGCGCCGCAGACGCACGTCGGTCTCAAGGCCATGATCCGGGAGGTGGACGAGGACGACGACGGCCGCCTCTCCTTCCAGGAGTTCATGCTGGTGTTCCGGAAGGCGCGTGCCGGCGCGTTGGACGAAGATTCGGGCCTGGGGCAGCTGGCGCGATTGGCCGAGATCGACGTGGACAAGGTGGGGGTGTGTGGGGCCAAGGAGTTCTTCGAGGCCAAGGTGCGTTCAATTTTGATTCATCATTACTTTCTTTTACTGTTGAGAAGGAATATTCTCATATGTAATACCACAAGTGATAATATTTCCAGGAAAAATAGTATCACGAGTTGTATTCGTATGACTATTTCATGATTGAATGAGACAATATATATAAGAAATAGGAAACATAATTTAAGTATATTCCAACTGCGAAGAAGAACATAATGATAGTAATGAAATACAGAATTTACTTTTTTAGAAATTAACTACCTACTTATAGTTATTCACAAAGTGGAATGTACAATTTTGATAAACAGTATTTTCTTTATTATCTTGGAGATGGTTGCTCTCAAAAGAGTGTATACAATTACTATCCAATTCAAACAAAATAAATTGAATTTATGTGACTTGGAGAAATAAAAAAATAAAAATATCGTCGCCGAGGGCTCGAACCATCGACCTTCGTATTATCGCGCAACAACCCTGCGCTACATCAGCTAGTAATTTTAACAGTCAGTCCCAATAACTTGAGTAATTGAAGAAGATTACTTTAAAAAGGAATTTGAATTCTATTATTGTTGGGTCAGACCGTCAACAAATATGCAAACTTTTTAAATTACACATGAAACATCCAGCCAGAATAAAATTGTCTCGCCTTTCGTACAAAATATCTCACTAACGCGAATTATAAGTAAATAAAATGAAGTAGGAAGTTAGGTTATTGTCTCAGATTTGAATCCAAAGCAATCTCGACCAGACACGATGTCAAAATTTTATCGCTGATAAACGAGGTTAGTTGGTCACGTGTGGGTCAATTCGGCTTCTGCATTGGTAGAGCAAGTCTGATAAAATTTAATAAACGAAAAATATCGCTAGAATACAGAAGAAACAATGAAAATGGTCGATTCTGATTGGTTCTCGATTTCAAGAGTAGAATAGTCATATGTAATACCACAAGTGATAATATTTTGCCGGAAATATTCGGTGATTGTTACGACAGCTTTGTTGCCTAGTAATTTCGTGAATGACATTGTTATCAAAACTACGAGCCGTAGGCGTTTTCGAGATATTCGACCCAAAATAAAAGATTGCATTGTAATATTTCATCATTTTCAGTAGTAGAAAAATTGCAAAAATACGTTTCTGGTGTTGAGTAGATTAGATACTATCAAGATCTCATTCTGTGGCTGAACAGAAATAGTTATTCCACGCATAATGAGAAAACAAAAATGTTTGTAATATTCTACTACTGAGGAAGATGAAAAATTACTATGCAAACTTCTATTTTGGGTCAAATATCTCGATAACTGTTCATTTTAGCTCAGTTGGAGGTGATGCATTTTTCCAACATAATTGAATAATCAATTCGAGAAATTGGAAATAATCGAGATTTCATCAGACGTAAAAAATATGTGAGGAAAAGTTATCACAACCCTCTGTAGCGCACCTCTGGATAAAATTCTCGGAATGTCTTTCTGTTCAAAAGATTAACCATTGAAAGATGAAACCATATACGAAATTTGAAATTTCTTGAGATATTGCGAACTATTTTAATTTCATAACTTCAACGCCCTGTATCTCAAGAACTGAACACTTGAAGACCGTATGTTCCTATCTCAGTGATTATGAAATCACGAGGGCTATCACCTGTCAAGCGTTGTCGGTCGAATTTCGCAACACCCTGTATATACAGGGCTTTTATTTCAAAACTTACCATCCTGCATATCTTTTGATTTGCGAAGATTACAGTTTTCGGAAAAAACCAGGTCGATTTAGATATCGAGGGGGAAGTAAAATGCCAGTATCAATTGAATTCTATGTTCATCCCCTTCACCCCCAGACACCCCTACTTTGAAATCTCAAATGGCACCCCCTACTTTGAGAAGGTCTATCAATGATCAAATCAACCAGGTGAAAAATAATTTATTTTGCATACAGGGTGGGTCATGAGGAACTGAATATACTCCTACCACGAACAGATGCCCCTGAGGGAAATACCGCATGGCCATCCAAAATGTTTTCTCCTCTTCTACAATAATATACAGAGTGATCCATAGGATTGGCAAAATATTAAATTTTCGTCATAACTTTCCAACAGCTTCTTTGATTCATTTCATTTTTCCATGGAACATTATGCACTCCAACACCAATAGACTGACAGAATTGAAAACAAATCAGGACCGTACTTGTGAAATGCTTTCAGCTATCAAAGAGTTCACTCTGTATATATGGTTTCAGTAAACAATGACTTTTTTTGTGTCAATCAGAACAAAATGTGTTGGTGCTTCATCCATTTGAGAATGGTATACCCTACTAGATCCTTTCAAAAACAACTAGAATGATTTATTTTGACGAATCGTGTCTGAGAAGAAATGCAATTTTTCAGAGTGGTATTCAAAGCAATTGCACAAAATGTGCTTCATTATTCTCTAGACTTCTAGACAATAGTACAGCCTATTTTCGAATTCTTCTTCTTCGAAATGTTTCCCGATTGATTTGTCTGCATTCGCTGAATCCTATAAATCACCCTGTTCATTATTGTAGAAGAGGAGGAAATACTCCAGATGGCCATTCGATATTCCCCTCAGGGGCCTCTGTTCGTGAAAGGAGTATGTACAGTACCTCGTGACTCACTCTGTATACGAAATAAATATATTTTCACCTGGTTGATTTAATCATTGATAGACCTTCGATTTTATGTATCTCAAAGTAGGGGGGACCGTTCGAGATTTCAAAGTAGGGGTGTGTGGGGGTGAAGGGGATGAACATAGCATCCAATTGATACTGTTATTTTACCCCCCTCCCCCCAATATCTGAATCGACCTGTTTTTCAGAAAATTGTAATCTTCGCAGATCGGAAGATATGAAGGGTGGTAAGTTTTGAAATGAAAAGAAAACATTATTTATTGCCCACCAAATCACTGAAACTTACTTTCATGTCATTTGGCCTCTTCCTACGATTATGTCTGCTCCGTGAATGTAAGAATTGTTCCTGAAATTCCACATTGAGAGTAAAAAAACGTAAGTCTGCTCAAGGCTTCCCATAAATTGAGGATTTCTATTTGTTCAAATTTTCTACATATTTTCGGTACAACAGGTCACAGCATCTAGGGCAATCCCGCAAAATTTTCGAATTTTTGACTTTGACATTGACCTCATGTTTTAGTAGCGCCAACTGGTGAGGCTTATTACCAAGGCAGTTCCAATTCGTTGGTCGAAATTGATAAAATATGATTTGCACTAGCACCGCAAACTCAAGTCCAATATAACGTTAAGATTATACAGATCTTCATGGCATTTTTATTTTCAGATAGGGGAACTGACAAAGAGGAGTAAATTCGAAGATGAAATTCGCCAGGAGCAAGAAGATAGAAAACGAGATGAAGAAGAGAGAGCAATGAGACGACAAGATTTTTTACAGAAAGCGGCAATATTTAAAGTTATCTAAATTCGTTATACCATGATGACTGATGATTTGATTTTACCATTATTGTTATTTGCCACTGCTCTTCTTTAACCATAATATATTATTATCTATTTGTTACTTCAAAACTTGAATATTACAGTGTATTATTTGACTATTCTATTATGATTTGCCTTCTGACATTTATTTTTTATTGTATATAAATATAAGGCTAATTTGAAGAATTGATTATATTTGATAGCTTTAGTGTTCTTAGATTTACTGTTGATTGTGATAGCTACTCTTGTAAATGTAAAGTATATAAATTAATATGATGATCATCAAAAAATTGTATTTATATAATACCTTGTGTTTGTGGAAAGTATTATACAGGTGTGAAACGAAGACCTCTCTCAGTAAGGATGAATGAACACAAGTACAATATCAAGAAAAGACATCGATAAATCAAAGTTAACTGAACATATCCTTACTAAAATGGACAACATATGGCAGAGTGAAATGATATTAAAATCATAGGGAAGGAAGATTACAACCTGAAGAGAAAAATCAAGGAATCCGCTTGCATTCTTCTGAACGAAAGCAATAGCATAGATTCAAGATCATTTGATAAAAACATCCTCTGTAACTCATTTGTCTACTAACATCATCACTCATCCATATGCCAACATCAGTATGCCACTGAGAGGTGTCAAGCTATAATAAAAACACCTTTGAAGAAAAACATTTTGCATTTTTATGTTGAGAACGGGAGCAGATTCGTTCCCGAAACGTCCAAAGATAAGTAAAAATTCGATATGTTTCCAAACAAAGTGTCACTGACAAGCTATTGGATTTTTTTTTCAGACTCCCTGATAAGAAAATTTGTTGAAACGCAGTGATATTTTGGGGCAAATCATCCGATTAGTTCTACTGCACCTATATTGGAATAATACTCATGCTTTTATTTTATAGAAACAAGGAGAGAAAATCGCAAATAATCAAGTAGAATGAATGTACCACCTCCTCCTCGGCGCTAATGGGTTAACCTACAGACAATATTCAAAATGAATTCACTTTCGCTTTTCGTTATGTTGTTTGGTCCACTTGACTTGGACTGGACTTTGCTGACCAAAATATGATCTACAAATGACGTCAGATTTCATGACGTCTCATTGACGTATAATACTGGATATCTCATCGACGTCCCAACAAAGTCATATATTATTCCTTTCCGTCCGACTGAATGAGAGGTTTTCGTAACTTTTCCTCGTCTATTTTACGCAATTTGAGTTTGAATCCACGTTTCTCCACAACGTAAAGCTTCTTGTGCCAACTTTTGTTGCATTTGCTATCAAACTACTTTCGGTCATCTTATATCTCGCCGAGGCTCACTACATTATTCTTCATACAAACAAGAGGAGTGATAAGTCAGGATTGATCAGCAGGGCCTGATTAGCCATTAGGCTAATTAGGCTGCAGCATAGGGCGCGAAAATCGGCGGGGCGAGCTGAAGTTAACGGGAAACATTGTCTTAAAGTGTATTAAAAAAAAACTGTCAAATTATTTATAAAACAGTAAACACAAAGTTTGATTTCTTATGGAAACTGCATGAACTAGACGACAGTGAATTTATAAGATCGATCTGAATACGTTTATAGGTGGTGGGAACCATGTTGAAATTTTCACTTATTATATCACGAGAGCTTCAATTATTTCCGGAAATTTTTTCGAGAACACGAATATTTTGAAAATTCTCCCGAGTCTTCGTGTTCGAGAGAAAACTCCAGGATATTAATTGAAGCTAAAGTGGTATTCTGTAAGAACATTTCACATCAAACATTTACGACCAATTCAAAGGAATTTCAACAACACTTAGATGATTTAGTTGAAAATGATGGTTGTTTGTGATGAAATGTAAGAACTAACGTATAGTAACAACATGTGTTATTGTAAATTTCGAATTTGCAAGTATACCTACATAATATTATATGGTAAACTGTTGATGAATTATTTTTATTTATTGACTCATAGAATGAACTCGAAATAATCTGAAGTTGAATGTACATGTCATTTGACCTATGAACGTCAAAAAATTTCCAGTGTAATTTCATGCTCCGTCCCCCAAGGAGGAGGAAACATTTTTCAAGAAGTTTGTTTAGTTGCTATGGTAACGATACGAAATACAGGCTATAAATCGATCGAAAATGTTTGGTGTGGAATTTTCACACTAGTAAACAAAGTCGAAACTAACATAGATTTTTAGGCCGATCGTAATAACACACCTGGCGGGGGCGCGTCCTCGATCATAATCATTAGCCTAGGTCGGTCAGAACTCTTGTTCAGTCGCTGTTGATCAGGACTACCCTGGGGGACCATCGACCAAGTCGTCACAATGCATAGTTACCAATAATGAAATGTCATCAAAAGTCGCGTTTTATTTATTCGATTCTGCCAACTGGAATCACTTCAATGTGTTGTTTTATTTGCAACTTAACAGACTCCGGTTGATACTTTTCATGCCGTCACACTACAAGGAATGACGTGAAATGACTGTTGACAGTTGTCAAAAAGTGAAAGTAGATTGACGAAAAACGAAACTTTCTGAAAGTAGAAGTCATTTTAGTCCAAGAGTCGGGTCGGTTTATACTTTATATACCTTGAACCCCCGGACGATTCTTAAGTTTTCTACAGGGTTGGTCATGATCGAAAACATATCCATAAAACGCCAAGTGTGCCGGAGCAAATCTTGCCGAAAGTATTTATTAATAATTAATAACTAGGTGCATTTTTTTCGATATCTACCTTTTTCTCCCGGACACATAAAAAATCACTAGATGTGCATTTCGATGAGTACAACCAGGAAAACACACTTTGTCGCGTCCGATCCTGCCGAAACCCATGGCACAGTGGCGCTACAGGGGGTAGCAAAAACGCGTTAACTACCTTCTCGCCCCGGCCAAAAATACATCTACCTAGTGATTTTTTTACGTGTCCGGGAGAAAACGGTAGGTATTGAAAAAAACGCACCTGGTTATCAATTATTAATAAATACTTTCGCAAGATTTTCTCCGGCACAGTTGGCGTTTTGTGTATATGTTTATGATTTTTTCAAGTAAGACAGGTTTCATATCTTCGTCGTGTAGTTTCTCGTTTTATTTGTAAACGTCATTCTGTTCTCACCACCGTTACCAGAATGGAACAAATTAAACGCAACTAAAGTTTTGTGGTATATTGCGTTTATATCATACGGCAATATTCACATCTGTATTTTTTATATTTCGTCCATCTGTCATTCTGAGACGTAATTTTTCAATTATGACGAATCTTAGCTGTGACATTTTGATGTCTTATAGGGTCTCTCAGACGTCATTTTAGGATTTCCACTTCGTCATTTTGTAACGTCAATATATGACCTCACCCTCTGCCACCTGTTTGCTCGGACATTGATGTAGAATCAGATATAGCTTATGTTTTATAACTTCAGGTTATTTTGTAGTAACAACGGTTATTGAGGAAATTAACAGAAACATAGAGAAACAAAAGATTCAACTAATTTTTTCGTGGAAAAATTATGTTTTGCATTTCCGCCCTGTGTGTGAAGTTCTTGGATCATTATTAAATTCCCTATATCAACTATACTATAGCTCAAAAAATAATCTAATAATATTATCAAGTCCTTCTATCCGCCATCTTTTGATCAAATTTTGATTGGGCCATGGATTGGAATACTCGTTCAGATGAAAAGAGCCATTATATGACCCATACTTGTTTGTCAGATAACTTACCATTTTGAAATCAGAAGGGTATTGCTAGTCATTGTGAAGTAGTTTATTACACAGATAGAAATAATATAATTCCTTTAACCTAATTATTGCAACCAAGTATTCACAGTTTTCCTATTATAAACTCATTATTGCTCAATTCACGTATCTGAAAATAAATTTACAAGAAATGATGGGTAACTTTAGATACAATATTTACATTAACTACAGTGTTACAACTAATAATAAAAATAACATTTGAATACTCATTTTGTATCTGCACAGAAATAAAATCATTTTGCTTTTTGCAATGGCACAATAAAATTTACATTATTATCCAAGAAAATTAGTAATAAGAAAACATGCTTGTTGCTTGTCTTATTAGATTTTCTCTCTTGAGCGAAAATATACTTTGAAGATCCACCCATTATTGTCATGTTAAAATTGCAATGGACGATTTTCAGTGTGATTTTTTCAGAAACTGGAGGATATTATTCACATACAGTTCTCAACACACCAAATGGACCACTCATAATTTGACTCTATTTCGAAGACCTGTATTTTTTTTAAAAATTGACCGATCTTCATGCGGTTTTCGATATCAGATGTGATGTTTAATCGACTTCAAAGAGAGCTAGAGCAATCTGAAAAAGTCCGCAAAACAAAACTCACACAGGGTGTAAAGTGGAACCATTACACTATGGTCTACATTTCCAATGCTGCCAGAACTCGAGAAATTTTTTTCTGATCAAAAGTCAGTCATATTATGATACACTGGGACCTCATCTCAGGACGTTTTTGTGATTTCTCCTTAATTGGCCATTGGAACAAAAATTCGATTTTTTTTCGAAAGTCTTGCATTTCTTGATTTTTTCCTCTAGAACTCCACTTGAGCTGACTATTGGGAAGAACTGTTCTCATGTTTTATGGAGGATAATGAAAGACGAAAAAAGCACTTTTTTTGATTATACAGGATGATAAGAAACTAGGACAAAATCTCATTTCAGTGAAAAAAATCAAAAATGGTGACTAAAACTATGGCCCATTCGATCCAGTATATTCAGAAACGGCCTTCTCGATATCCATCATTTATATTAGACTACTAACTCGAGATGTTTTCGAAAATTCGCCTCTAAGTGAAATACAGGATGAAATTTTTCAATTCAAACTTGTTTCCTGATATCGATGATTTTCAATATTTATTGCCCAAGTATGAGAAACAAAGAATTGTTGTTCAATATACTGAGTGTTTTACAACTACGATATTACATGAGAAGTCTATCACAAAAAAATTTAATAGAAGTGAAACGTGATGGAAAATAAAATTTGTAACACTTTATATCAACTAAAACTATTCGAAAAGGGTGATAAGAAAATAGGACAATACAGGGTGAAAATTTTCAATTCAAACTTGTTTCCTGATATCGATGATTCTCATCATTTTATCAACGGATTTCCAATATTAATTGCCCAAGTATGAGACACAGAGCATTGTTGTTCAATATACTGAGTGTTCCACAACTCATCTGACAAATTAAGAACTCTGTTAGAAGAATGTGGTGACCAGCATTATCTCCAGATCTGAATTTGATTGAACATGTGTGGAGCCGAATGAAACTTGACCTATCGAGAAGGCGAGGCACCCCAAAATAATGAAAACCTTATCCAGAATGGGCGGCAATATCAATAGACTTCATCAACAACCTCATAGAATCTATGCCAAACCGATTTCATGAGGTTTTGTTGAATCGGGGAGGCCTACCAAGTACTGAAATTTAGGATATAGGACTTTCTAGTTGGATCTTCATAATGCTGAAGAATTCAATAATGTCATATTTCGCCAATAGAGCCCTTTTAGAATAGTTTTAGTGGATATAAAGTGTTACAAATTTTATTTTTCATCTCGTTTTACTTCTATAATTTTTTTTTGTGATAGACTTCTTATGTAATATCGTAGTTGTGGTTGAAATTTGTCAGATAAGTTGTAGAACACTCAGTACATTGAACAACAATACTCTATGTCTCATACTTGGGCAATAAATATTGGAAACCATCAATATCAGGAAACAAGTTTGAATTGGAAATTTTCATCCTGTATTTCATTTAGAGGCGAATTTTCGAAAACGTCTCGAGTTAATGGTCTAATATGAATAATGGATATCGAGAAGGCCGTTTCTGAATATACTGGATCGAATGGGCCATAGTTTTAGTCACCATTTTTGATTTTTTTCACTGAAATGAGATTTTGTCCTAGTTTCTTATCATCCTGTATAATCCAAAAAAGTGCTTTTTTTGTCTTTCATTATCCTCCATAAAACATGAGAACAGTTCTTCCCAATAGTCAGCTCAAGTGGAGTTCTAGAGAAAAAAATCAAGAAATGCAAGACTTTCGAAAAAAAATCGAATTTTTGTTCCAATGGCCAATTAAGGGGAAAACACGAAAACGTCTCGAGATGAGGTCCCATTGTATCATAATATGACTGACTTTTGATCAGAAAAAAATTTCTCGAGTTCTGGCAGCATTGGAAATGTAGACCATAGTGTACTGGTTCCACTTTACACCCTGTGTGAGTTTTGTTTTGCGGACTTTTTCAGATTGTTCTAGCTCTCTTTGAAGCCGATGAAACATCACATCTGATATCTAAAACCGCATGAAGATCGGTCAATTTTTTAAAAAAATACAGGTCTTCGAAATAGAGTCAAATGATGAGTGGTCCATTTGGTGTGTTGAGAACTGTATTTTGGTATTGGATAATGAAAAGAGTCCCAAGTTGTTTTGAAGAAATCAAATTTCTAGTACTTTTTAGGTCGACACATGACTTTTTTGTTATGAATAAATGAAAACAATATATTTTTCTGAAAATCGACCAATTCCATTGTCACGTTCATCCTTAACCTAATGTTGCTAAAAGTATTGGCACTTTATCATGAAAAATTTACATTATAAAAATATATCTTAAGACATTTAACAGACGAATATATCTTTCTGAATAACACAGTAACAATAAAATATTCAAAAAAATAACCTGTATAAGTTTGCGTTCCACATATAAATAAGGCACTCTCGGGCTTCAGACCAATAATTTGAATATCATCTAGAAAATTTGAAAACCTAAATTTGGAGAATCCTAAAAATTGATGTCCCAACCAGTTACGTCATCAGGAGGTGGAGCATCTGCGTCAGGTGGGTAATTGTCGAAGTTAGAGGTGTCAATGACAGTTTGGACCATAGGTAGGATTGGTGGAGTGAGAGTACGGTTGCAAAGCCCTTCCCAGTTAAATCCGTCAAACCATCTGAAGAAAAATAAAGATTCTACATTCTTTCCTTTTTGGTTATTTGTTGTCACATAGAGAATGTACCATGAGTTGACGCTGTCAGACCCCAGAATTCAGGTGAACAATACGGTGAATAATACAATACTAATGCATTTAAAAGACTTTCACAAACGATATGATTTCCACGAGATTCTCATTATAGTCAAGTCTTGAAAGCTATTAAATTAAGATACGACTTTGTGAATATAATTATTTGAACTGCTATTAGTGCAGTGCTATTATTATTTGCACCAGCACTACTGGACCAAATATTTAATATTTTTCTGTATTTTTTTAATCACACGATATTGACACTAAATTTCATTCCTGTGAATGTGTAATGATGCGAATTTGCTACTAATAGCTTTGAAGCCACATCAAACATATTTATTATGAATATCATACGAAAATATTGTAGATTTGATTATATGGGTGTAATGGACTTATATCACAAAAAAAATTTATTCCATAATTCGATAGAACTCACCCAAACTAGCTCACCACCGCAAACCGTTTATCGTTGTGAGCTCCCTACGTTTTATAAAAAATTATTGAAATCCCCGATTTTTCGGACCTCTGAAAACGAGGCGATGATGTGACGTCAAAACCCTAATACTGAAACAGGACTATTCCAGACAGAGATGAATGATAAATGATTTCTGGCAGAGTGAATTAGCGCGAGATCACAGTTGAAAGAATTAATATATCAGTTGCCTCAGTCTCCGTCCGGCGTTTGGTATTTTCTTTTAACTATGGCGAGATGAGGTTTCTACGTCATAAGAGGGTCCGTTTTCAGATGGTACTATTATTTATGTCCAAAAATTAAACATTCCAGTAAATTTTTCGATCGAATTATGTCGTCAATCATTATTTATGTATGAAAGGATCATTATAAACATGATTTGAGTTAAAAGTTCTACCAAGGTGTACACGCCCATTGTTGAAGTACTTAATCAAATCTGAATTAGTACCTATCTTGATGAAAATTCCAAAGGTATTGCCAATTCATAAATCGAGTAAGAAAGACGATTTGAATAATTACAAGCCAATATCTGTCCTCCCAATTCTTTTTAAAATTATAGCAAAAATCATAAATAATCGGCTCCTTGATTTCCTTGAAAGTAACGATCTATTGTACAGTGGTCAATATGGACTCCGTAGGTCAAAGGATGCAGAGATAGCAGTGATGGATGTTATTTCAGACATCCAGTCACAGCGAAATGAAAATTATAAATGTGGCTTCTTGTTCTTGGATCTATGTAAGGCATTTGACACTTTAGATCATACCATTTTACTCAATAAATTATATTCCATAGGTGTCAGAGGAATTAAGGTATTCATGATTGGTTCACAAATCACTTGACAAATAGAAAGCTGTATGTTGAAGTGAATGATATGTAGCTCACTTATGAATATCACACGTGAAGTACCGCAAGGATCAGTTTTGGGACCAATATTATTTTTAATTTATATAAATTCAATATCAAATCTGAAATTTAAAGGCAAGCTCAACTTGTTTGCTAATGAAACCATTGATTTATGTATCTAAAGAATTAAATGATAACGAATGGAATCTTCATATATGTATATCTCCAAGAGATTATGTATTATTTCTAATAATACTATATCTCTCAATAATAGATTCATTGAATATACAGAGGTAACAACATTTTTAGGTCTCTATATTGATGAAAAATCATTGTGGACAAAATACATAGACCATTTGAGGTATAATATGAATCTATCATAGGCATTTTATTCAAAATCCGAAATATTATTCCTGTATATTTTGCATATGCCCGGTTGCCCGCCGGTCCTGCCCGGGCCTGATAACAAGAAATTGTTGAATTAACGTGAATGATAGAACTATTTCAACAATGACTTTCAACATGTAGACATGAATCAATGATTTCACAAAAAAATGAAGAAGCTGTCTCTAGTACAACTTTGGACTTGTTACCAAGTATAATTGAGACAACGTAGATGCTGGAGATATTCAACGAAAAAAAAGTGTGATAAAATGCAATCATAATGAATGTTGCAGGCAATTGTATCGAAAACGTTATGTTCTGGCCGCTCCAATGTGAATCACAAAAACAATCAATATTTGAGTGAATGTCAGGATTAGGTACTTACTTGTGCTTTTGAATATCACTTATTCCTCCTTTTTGGTATCCCAATCGTTCGGCTGGATTATCTTTACATAACCTTTTTATTAGAGCTTGTGCATTTCTGGTGATATTTCTAGGAAAGTCAATCCCATCTATACCCTTCAGAATTATATTGTATGTTTTCATTGGATCTGAGCCTAGAATAAATCATTAAAAAATTAGTACCTAGGTACTCTTCAAACATACATATATGAAGGACAATTTTTATAAATATTGGAAGAGAGATGCTGATTCGGCCCATTTGCACACCCATGCACAAATATATGGTACCACTTTTTCAAATTTTAATAGTCGTGGAAAAAGAAACGTATTTTGAGTCCCAACTTAATGGCACTTATCAAGTATGAGTTTTTGTAAGATATTTCTTATGACATCAATATCCACCCAATAAAAATTTCTCCAATCGATTATGAGTAAAATAAATAGACAATCAAATGGAAAGGCATTTCAATTAACAATGAAAAGCTGTGATATTCTGGTCATCATTGCCACTACCTATGTTTCTTTCACACAGTTATAGCACAGTATATTATCCTTTCTCGCGAAAGGATAATACACTATGGTGATAGCATCAAAAACTGGAATTTAAAACCTTATGGGTAATCAAAGACGTGAAGTAGGATGTTTTCAGAAGACATAGAACTCATCAGAATGAACCATTTCATCGGAGATCATACAAAAAAGTTGAAAAGGTCAAAGATGAAAATATTGTTCAAAGATATATTTCACCGTTTGTCACTGTCATGATGCGGTCCCTTTGCCTAGACTCACGGTTAATCAAAGACACGTCAACGAGTCGGCTATTATTGTAAACTTGTGACATTCTTTGATGAGTACACAGAAAAAATCAGTTGATAGGAACGATTTCATCACAATTACGTTACATCAACTGAATGATTCAATTGGACGGAAGATACAAGAAGCCTTCATCTTCTAAACGAAAATCATATTCACGTCCTTGTTTGGCAGAACATATGATCTGCTTCAAAATCATTTGTGGTTGAGTCTGACTGTCACTGCTTGTCAAGTGTCAGGAAGGCAATAAAACGCGGGTTAGAACCAATATGGCACCTGGTTGGCACCATTTATAAAATCAATGTTACTAGAACAATAATTAAATAGTTACTGGTTCTGATTTCCTTTGATTAAATAACTTGTACTTCTGTTACTAACAGGAATTTGTGTATATATACGATTTATCACACATAAGTAATTTCATTGTGAGCCAGCCAGTACATAGTTTGACAGGTCATTGGATTGCCTATTTGGTCATGTGCACATTTGACAGGTCATTGGATTGCCTAATTGGTCATGTACACATTTGACAGATGACCCACCTTGTCGGTAAAACAACCCCACTTTTCTTATTTGTTTACAAATAATTGAAATATATTTATATAATAATAGAAAAGTCAACCTCAAGTAACTTTGGAATCAAAATGGACAACTTTTGAATCGGTTGCAGAAAATGGTTATTTTCCTAACAAGTGCGCAAAGTGTTACTTCTCCGCACGCAAATACAGTTAGGCGAACGACGTGGAGCGGAGTTCGAATAAGTTTTTACGTGCGGAAAAGACACTTTGCGCACGTGTAAGGAACAATGTTTTTCCTACGAGCCTCATATCAGATAAAAAGGAAAACAAAATATAACTCATTGAAAAATGGAACTATACAACAATCACATATAACAATAAAATATAATAATAGAATGAAAATAAATGTTCCATACCAGTGAGATTTTTGGGTAGTTCTACTTATCCGCACGCCGTGCGGATAACACGCATATCCGCACTGAGTGCAGAAAAGTATCACTTTGCGCACGCAAATGAGTGCGGAAAAGTACAACTCTGCGCACGCTCGTAGGAAAAAGAATTATTCTTTTATATAACTCACCTGTAAATGGTGGAGTGCCTGTCAACAGCTCAAACATCAAAACTCCCAGTGACCAATAGTCTGCACTTATATCATGACCTTTATTCAATATAACTTCCGGCGCCACGTATTCAGGTGTACCACAGAAGGTCCACGTTTTGCGACCAGTCTGAAGCTTCTTGGCAAATCCAAAATCAACTAGCTTCACGTATCCGAAATTGTCCAGCAACAGATTTTCTGGCTTCAAGTCCCTGTAGATGATGTTCCTCGAATGTAAGTAGTCGAAGGCTTCGACCACGCAGGCAGTGTAGAATTTTGTTGTAGCTGCAATAACATATACGTGAGAACAATAAAACCATTGCTGTAGGTATGAAAAAAAAAAACGAATAATGACCATCACTTAGTTGTCCGGTTGAATTAGTTGAGAGATGCGAACATCTTTGTCTGAAGAAAATGTTATTCTACATGACGCACTCATGCCACCACGGAAGTTGTCAAAATAAAGACCTTATGATAATTTACATAAGGGCTATTCTGTTAATCAGCGTTAATAACCGCAATCCATGTTCATTGTATGAACTTCAAGTAATGAAAATTAACAACATACTACTACATAGTGTGTCTAATTAAGGCGACAGAATTAATTACATTCAAATACAATCATACAATGCTGGATTCACTGGCTGGAATGTGCTGTTGCCTGAATGATGAATGATTCCCCCTCATGAAAACAGTTTCGTAATAACATTATTGCCACATGTCCGATGCATTTATTGTTATATTAGGGCCAATATTGTGCCAATGTTGTTGGAATCAACAACAAATTAATTATTCCATGGGTTTTTATGAAGTTGTATGCAATTAGACAACTTCAACATTTCGCAGCAACTGCTTAGCTGTGTTGCCACAAAAGTGGTTCGTAGTTTCGAATGGTGGTTCAGATTATGAGATGTGAGGTATTGCGGGTATGTGCGTAGCATACCTTGTTGCTCGTAAAGTTCCACATTGGAAGTAAAAATACCCAAGCCTAACAATAACATGTGCTTTTGTATACAGGGTCCGGACGATTTAATGAGTACAGTATTGTTATTTCCTATACGGTTAGTGATAGAAACTTGATTAAATTAGACAAAAGTTGCGTAATTTGGACCTCTTCAATGATGTTTTGCAATTTGGAAAAATGCCAATTGTTCCTGTAATATTTTGAAAAAACTGAGAATCACTGATTCCGTTCTTATTTATTTTCATTCTAAGAATATTAGGAGAAAAAATTTGAAATTTTGTGTAGTAAGTAGGTAATTAATCATGACAAAGAAGATGAGATTGTCAGTAATATTCTATCTCCATTATTTTCAGAGATTCATCCATGCAACTTTTGTTTTCCTCTAGGGCGTCATATTTATTTTTTATACCATTGGATAGAGCTAAGAAATCTCTTCACACCCATGACATTTTCAAATGTGGTAGGCCATGATAAAAAGAAAACAAAATATCAGTCGTTATCTATTTTAAGTGTTTTGTCTATTAGGCTAATAAAATTAAATCGAAAAAAACCGTTTTGAGGAATTAATTTCCAGCAAACTGGAAATCGTTTTAATACCTCTATTTGGTCCTAAATGCGTGTAATCTGAGTTTGCACCATGTCAGGTGGTGAGCTTAACTTTTGATAGCCAAAAAACCGCCACATTTTTGCACTTTTTTTATTTTTTTGCTTATAGCTGCAAAACGGTGTGTCGGACGGAAAATGTTATTCCATTCAATAATACAGAGGAAAAAATTCTGCGTCGAATGACATCTGAAAACATCAAATTCCGTTCAGAGGTATAGCCGAAATCGAATGTTAAAAAAAGAAAATTTCGTAGTTCGGTGCAACTCGTGCGCGAAATACTTTGGTGATTTCGACTATTTTTTAACTTGGCTGCGCCTCGTTAAAAAAATCAGCTCTCGATCACCAAAGTAGCATTTCGCGCAATAGATGAAAAATAATTATAAAATGATGTAAAATTTGGGACCGAAGCTGAACCGGGCATTCAGATATCCGGATAATTGGACAAATCAAGAAAACTTAAACAACTTTTATTTTATGGGTTTTTTCAATAGGAGTATCTGTTTTCACGATATGTCGTCTTGGAAAGCCGCAAAATGTAAGCTTGCACCGAACTACGAAATTTTTTTCTTTTTTAACATTCGATTTCGGCTATACTACTAAACGGAATTTGATGTTTTCAGATGTCATTCGACGCAGAATTTTGCCTTCTATATTATTGAATAGAATGACATTTTTCGACCGATGAACCATTTTGCAGCTATAAGCAAAAAAATAAAATAAGTGCAAAAATTTGGCGGTTTTTTGGCTATCAAAAGTTAAGCTCAACTCCTGGAATGGTGCAAACTTAGATTACACGCATTTGGGACCGAATGAAGGTAATTAAATGATTTCCAGCTTGCTGGAAATTAATTCCTCAAAATATGATTATTTGATTGGCCTATATAAAAAACACGTAAATATTAGGGATGAACTCTTGAATAGAATTCTTAAGTTCAAGATGCACATATTGAAAACCATTTTTGATATTTTTGTATTCACTGATAACATTCAATAGGTAAATGGAGCTTTTATTACCTCTGAAAAGGTTAGAATGTATGTTTCAAAATGCTATTTTCTCTAGAATGGTAAGAAATATGGATTAAAGTAAAGTATACCATAGAAAACCCAAAGTCCTGTTATCAACTATACTGTTTGTATGTCTACTTTTTTCATTTCCATGTGAGTAATAAGTAATTTTTGCATCTATATCTCATCAAGTTAATACTGATTTTTCTAGAACTATGATACTTTCTATTAGCTGATGATGGGCTTATATAAGCCCGAAACATTTTCCGTTACGATTGATTTTTGATCTTTGATCATTCTAATAAAAGTTGTGGAGATGACTTTGGGTTTTCATCTATTAACTACACCAATCCACTTTGAGTTACCATGGACTCCTTCCAAAGATTAAAGTATACCATTTTTGTAGATGAAAGATGAAGGAGTCAAACGGTGGAAGCAAAATGTGAAATTAGTCACCTGTGTCAAAAATGCCCTCATTTAACGGAAAAAATTCGTGTCTTAATTTTTTTAATCTTACTTTCAAGGTCAATAACTCTGTAACAATGCTCGATAGACATTTTTTTATATCAAGTACGAACATTATTTTGGCACACTCTATCAGCCCTATCATTTACGACATGAGCTTTCCGGATACCCTGTACATATATAAATACTCGTGTAAATGGATGTGTGAAAAAACTTAGGGGTAATTCATTATCATATTTCAAGTAGAAAAGTTTATGTTGTCGTCAGTGCACATTGAAATAAGTTATGAATTCTCCTTCTCATCCGAAAAAAAGCAGGAAGCAAATTGAAATAAGAATTAATGTAGTGTGGAAAACGCATATAGTGTCAATGAGTACCAACTAATATACAAGTGTTTGATTTCATTTCAAGGAGGGTACGCTTTTATTTCAATTTTCAATACAACAAAACAGTGTCCACTATTTGGTTTTCATAGATAGTTATAGGGAAACATTTTACTCACCATCATCAAAGTGTCCTTTATCCCTCAAAATAGTCCACAACTCTCCACCCAAACAACTCTCCATCAGCATATACAGATATTTGGTATCTTTGAACGTCTTGAACAACTTAACAATAAAATCACAATTCGCTTCGCCCATGATCTCCTTTTCAGACATGATGTGCTGCTGTTGTCGCGTCTCGACTATCTGGGCCTTCTTCATTTGCTTGAGCGCATACGATTTCGAGTGCCGACCATGGATTTGGACTAGCTCGACTCTGCCGAAACCGCCCACTCCAAGGGTTGTTAGCACCTTGAGATCTTTCAGTTTCACGTTGGCGAATTCTTGGTCCACCCTTCCGAACGAAAAATTGTTTCAATATTTTTATGTTCAAGAACTAAGAGAACAAACACTAACATGCTGGTTGACTGTATGTTCTAATCTGAAAAACTCAAGTGAGTGTTTTTTTGACGTTCATTCAATGACATAATGTCATCCAATTATAGACCGAGGGTCACTAATACTTAATTATACCAAGTGAGAGTATTTACCTAATTCGTCATTGATGGGTGAACTGTCACCTTTTTTTTATCGAACCCTCAAGCATTCATTAGTTCAAGTTAGACATTATATTCTTGTCGCTGAATTTGGTAACTTTTAGGAATCATGAAATATCTAATTGATTAATAGCAAATTTGACTTGCCGGGAAACGGATATACTATGACTTATAATATTAGGCTACATATATCGCAAGTCGCAGTTATGGGATATTGAGATTATAATTATTCTGAAGTTTCGTAGGAGTGATGAAGGAATCCGACTGAAATATTTTCGTTATTGGGAAGCTTCTGGTTTCTGTAGTGACGTGATATTTATTATTCTCAATTAGAGTGACTTCATAAACAGAGTGGCGCCAATAGTGGTGCAATTTTTGATTGGTCAGACCTCAATATGGAGGTGCATCCACCTGTCTTGTTTTCTCCATTCAGTTCAACACATTCAATCTCACTTTGTCAGTGTTTCTCGCTCTTTGATGCTCTTTGGATACAAAAAATATAACAATCAGATCTGAAACTCTTTGCGTCAGTACCTCGAATATTAACCATTAGAATCTGTCTTCTGGGACTCGTAAGTCTCAGATTATTTAGCTGATGAAATGAAAATATCAAATATCTAAACCTAAGATCTGGGCACTGCGAAGGCGCAAATTCTTTACTGCATGGCAGATACCCTTCAGATTTCTAGCTATTCAGTGACTTGACCACGAATGACATTCCGGAAACGGCAGCCATTTGGAGGTCTATTGTCGTCACTCTATTCGCAATAAGATACCTAATATTTTAGAACGTCTTCAAATTCCTGGGCGAGTGGACTGATAATGAATTATTGGCATTCAATTACTCCACTTCTCACGCTTTTTTTAAGTAAATAATGAGTCAATGCGTTGTTCAAAACTGTTGAATTTCAGAGCTCATTTCAAACGAATCTACATGACCGCCATTTGGCAAAACGTCGAATAAATGGTGACGTCAGTTTTAATGATTTTTCGTTATTAGTCAGATAATCTTCCATTTCCACTCATGAAGCAAGGTTGTCAAGTCACTAATTATAATCAAGTTATCAAAAAGATTAAAAGGAGGAACCCATAATATTTTAGTTTATTCTCGACTTTTTCGAGCAACCAGCATGTCCAAATATTTCTTATTCTCCATAACAAAATATCACGTGAATGTTGGAGACATGGCAACATTGTGCTGAATGCTGAGAACTGACACGACCATGCCCACAAGTCGTGCGCCGTGTTGTCACGTTCACCAAATCAAATATCGTCCAGTGTGAATTGATTTAATCATTATTTACACAAATTCATAAGGGAACATTTTGAGACAATTGCAATACCAATACTCAATTGAGAATTCATGAATAATTGAATAACTAATATTTCTGAACTTCCCAATCGTATTTCAACACATGGCAACTGTGATAGGTCTGCCCCTACTTACGAAATCGTGGCGTCAGTGTACATTTCTAGCCGTTTGAAAATTACCGTGAAGATTTTAGCACCTACAAATCGACCGGAAAGTTCTCAAAAAATATGAAATTGATAGGTATTTGATTGATGATTCTATTTATGAAATGAATAAAAAATAGTCCCCTCGCCTGAGCAAAAGTGCCAAATGCAGCATATCATACGCCATGTTCATATTGAAGGTTAAACGGATCACTCATCATAATCAAAACCATTGAATAAATTACAGGATGCGCAGAAATGTCGGTTCAGAAAGTGAATGTGAAACATTGGAAATTACAACTTTTTCAACTGAAAACCCCCTTTTTTCTCATGATTAAATTCTATCATAAAAATGAACCCTATAGTTCTGATTAATTTCCCTATACCCAGAACTCATAATTTCGGAGATATTTTAAGAACAGTAAGTACTCAATTCTGCATAATAACTACCTGACATTTTTGATTTTTCTTATAGGCTGCGCAAAATATCTATCGATAAATTAATTGAAGATGTTTACTGTGGAATTAATCATCTGTGAAATTGCAATATGGCTCGTGTTGAGCATAGTAATCAAGATTTCATTTTATAACATTCGCCATGATACATCGCTACGCTTTCCTAGCTTCGATGGACGGCATGCCACTGCTTCAGTTCAATGATTTTTGATTATCGATATAATAATAGCAAATTTACATGAATGTCTGTAAAAAAAATCAACATGCAACGAAATAATTCGATGAAATGATAAATAAGAATGATTAAGTAATATTCAGTTGGTTGAGGGTTAAGGTATCTAAGCCATCCATACTGAAACATCTACAGCAGGCATGGGCAAACTTTTTGAGTAGGGGACCAAATAGAAAAAATCAGCAAGAACCACGGGCCAGGACAAAAACAAATTTTAATTTTCTTGAATTTCCCACAACCGAAGTTTGCTTTGAAAATATTTTACATGGGTGAATCCCAGCGAGCACAAACATACCTGGGATGTTTTGGGATGTTTTGAAAATGTTGGCATTAGGGTGTTTTTTCGAGACGTAATATGCACTTCCCAAAGAGGTCTTCAGAAGTATTTTGTTTGTTCTTTTGTTGCCTTTATTTGTTTGCCTACTGAGAGGTATAAGAGAAATAATAATAATGTTAACGTGAGAATGTCATTTCTAGACATACCATAGCCTGCCTTGAGAGGTATATATTGCAGATATTCAATATACATTCAATTTTTAGTTCCATAATGCTTATCGACTTTTCTTCACCACTCCGCCACCATTTTACACACAATTAAACTTTATTCATGTGAATTCAGCATATTTAATATTTTTTCGACTCCCCACTTCAAGTATAATGAGATTTTTACCGAATTTTCAACACTCCAGGTTGTCTACACCCGCTGAGAGAAAACATGAGCAGGGTTTAGGACCGAAGGTACCTATAATTATCTAATTTTTATTCCATTACGATACCAACGACCTTCTATTTTTCTTAGAACAGAAGCAACGACATATAGGTGTATTATTCATTCTGATTGAAAATTACCCGACGTGTCGTCCATAATTCGTTAAAATATCCCAAACAAAAATAAAATAGTATACAAACCTAGGTAGGAAGTTTCATTCCTGTCTCGAGAACTAATCTCACGACAGGAATGAATCTCTTCCCACCTTGGTGTGTAATATACTATCTCCATATTCCGTATCCAAGCATTTCCAAGCCCTGCAGAAATTGCAGAAAATGGCGGTGATTCAAACTTTTTGATTTTATGAAAATATATACACACATGAAACAACTATCTGCAGTATGTAAGTGAATTCTAAAGAATCAGCACAGACACTCTCCTGACAAATAATACATTGAAATATGAGCAGAAAATTGATGTCAATATTCCTCTTTGATAATTCTGATATTATTTGAGCTAACACTCCCATACTTTTCCCTATCATCGCGGGAGCTATATCTGTTGTGACAACACCTATCTTTGCCCAATGCAGATTGAAACCATAAAAAATAAGAACAATTTCTTCAATAATGTCTTCAACCCTTGTATTAGAGGCAGGTATTTACTTTTCGTGGCTTAAAGCGCGAGCAAATTTTCAGTTATTAGGAATATTTCGTCGGCGGCACTAATAAAAAATGCTAGTTGCACTGCATCACATTTGTTCACAACTTCGGCAAGAGTGACTCGTATATTTTCGTCAAATCTTCCACAAATTCTCCTTCTGAGAATCACTGAATGTTCCGCCACTTTATCCTTACTAATAAACTACTCAACACTAATTTCGTCGCACACCAAAATGTCGCCCCTGTTATGATGTGAATAACTTTTTTCAGTTTAGAACAATTTGAATTTGGTTCACACTGTTCGATAGCCCAGTCCTTCAGCTATAATCTCGTATTTCATTGAAACATAAGGGTATTCACATAAAATCTCTACATGGTGTTTTCCGACACTGTGCGAAATTTCGGAATATTCAAAAGGCTCTCAAATGATGAAAACAATTTTTTTCCCAACTTCGACAACAGAGGCATGAAGATGATCTCATTATCTCGAGATATTTCGCGAATCAACTTCCTATCTCTGTTATTTACAGAGTGATCTCAAAAAATCAACTTTTTGGTTTTGTAGCCATAACTTTTTTCCACGTTAACCGATTTTGGAAATCTTAGGCTCATTTTGAAGATAAAACTTCAGATGAAGAGATCTGAATATCAGAATTGACTCAAGATGGCTATCAAAGATCTAGATTTTTCTTGAAAGTGACCCAAATCTGGAACGCCATTCGAATCTTGGTTGGGAGGAGAATTGAATGAAAATCAACTTGTTCTCGGAAAAACAATTCATTCTGGATGCGTCCATATTTTCCTCGCTCTCAGAAGTCAAGAATTGTGCGTGAGGAAACACAATTGAAACATGTTCTTGCAAAAACATTAGATCATTTCTCCTCTGTAATGCATGGCCCGCCGTAACCAACGTTACAAGAATCACAATGAGTGACTGACAAACCCGACCAGCTGAGGCTCATCATGAAAGGTGTACCAACAAGAGCAACGGATTTTGATTTTTTCAATGAAGTGATTTTTTTACCAGTTGTCACGTACATAACATGCGATTTAAGAATATGGAGAAGTATTCAAGCAAACAACGTTTATTTATTGTAAAAACGCATTTCAAAAATGGTGAAAGTTTCACGAAAATAGTTTGCCAATTACGTAAAGTTTTCAGTCGCAATAATGCGCCAAACGAATCGACAGTAATAACCAAACAATTCGTGTCGGAGATAAGCCCTCCGAATGGATCGGACTGTCGTGTTTAGCAGATCCGCGTTTTGGAGGGAAGATAACCCTTGTGGAATCACTTCCAACTGGTCGGGCGTTAGATGCTGCATCGAAACTATCAAAATCTGTTTATGATTCGAAAACGACGTCTAACCTGACTTGTCAGTCACTTACTGTGATTCTTGTAACGTTGGTTACAGGCCATGCATTACAGAGGAGAAATGATCTGATATTTCTGCAAGAACATGTTTCAATTGTGTTTTCTCACGCACTTCCTTGACTACTGAGAGCGAGGAAAATATGGACGCATCCAGAATGAATTGTTTTTCCGGGAACAAGTTGATTTTCATTCAATTCTCCTCCCAATCGAGATTCGGAGGGCGTTCCAGATTTGGGTCACTTTCAAGAAAACTCTAGATCGTTGATAGCCATCTTGAGTCAATTCTGATATTCAGATCCCTTCATCTGAAGTTTTATCTTCAAAATGAGCCTAAGATTTCCAAAATCGGTTGACGTGGAAAAAAGTTATGGCTGCGAAACCAAAAAGTCGATTTTTTGGTTATGAGATCATCTTCATGCCTCTGTTGTCGATGTTGAGAAAAAAAATTTTTTCACCATTTGAGAGCCGTTTGAATATTCCGAAATTTTGCACAGTGTCGGAAAACACCATGTAGAGATTTTATGTGGATACCCTTATGTTTCAATGAACTACCAGATTATAGCTGAAGGACTGGGCTATCGAACAGTGTGAACCAAATTCAAATTGTTCTAAACTGAAAAAAGTTATTCACATTATAACAGGGGCGACATTTTGGTGTGCGACGAAATTAGTGTTGAGTAGTTTAATATAACAATAATCTGGATGCGGGACTTGCTATGAAAAGCAAAATTCATTGGCGGGCCGGTGAACTTTTGGTCGGGGGCCGCATGCGGCCGTAGGTTGCCCATGCCTGATCTACAGTATGATTCAAATAATTTTTATTATACTGCAGCATAGTATATTCGTTATCAAACTCATTTATTATCTACTCGAATTCAATTTTCCTTGAATTCTATATTACATCTAAATTCATTATTCACATATTTCATGAGTATACTTACAGCTAGGACCTCCAAGATAAGCATAACATGTAAACAAATCAGCGATATGATCTTTTTTGTGAAGGAGTAGATTTGGTAGAGAAACTAATCAAACATTTGTACTTACCTTCTTCTGTCAATTCCGTCATCTCTATATTTCGTTCTAACTTCATCTAAGTTTGATATGAGTTGATTGAAAGTTTCACGATCAATAACAAGAGTTGTTACTCCCTCAGGATCATCTACTATCACGTTGGCAGTTCTTCTATCATCTCTGCAAAACAAGAAATAAGAATTTGAATGAATCGGTATTGTTTTGAATATTAGTGATAATGAAGAATATTGGTACTATTTGAACTGATTGGACTTAATATTTGATCTTTTGTGCATATCAAATGACATGATATTCAGAAAATGGCTATAAAATGACAGGGTGTGGGGTTAGCTTATCTAGCAATATATGGATTGAAATTAATTTTCCCAAAATTTGTTAGGTACTAGTTTTCTATAAATATCCATATTTGGTGTAACAATTGTAGTATTTCGATAATAAGAATTTTTCATCTCTTGGAGCGCATGACAGGAAATTCTTATAATGTTCGGGAAACATCGTGCGTACCTAGGGAGGATAAGGAGAGTAGGTAGGTGTTAGATTTTTTTCAACTTTTAGGGGTTATAAGTTCTTGGGAATACTTCCATTGGCAAATAATAACAAAGCTTCGCCGTTCTATAGATGAACGAGTTTTGGTAGTGTTGTTCGACATAGACGACGAAAGGATGTGCTGACTGGGCATGTGAGTTCGTCTGACTGGTATTGCTAGTGATGGAATTATATCAGAGATTTCTGAGGAACATTTCCCGTGGAAGTATCTATAGAAAACTGACAGTATATGTGCTGTTGAGGTTGAAAGTAGATTTTCGCACTGAACAAGAATCCGAGGTTTTGTGAAGCAGCGTCTGCGACAGATCGAACATGATTTTCATGAGAGATGTTGTGGCATTAAAGGCTTGTGTTTTGGTGGCGTTGAATACAACTAGGTTGTTGGTTCCCCAGACTGTAATTTCCGAAAATCTTCATTGACAGCGTTGGCCTGCCTTCGTCGTAAGTTCTCAGTTTTCTGGGAAGAAATGAGAATTCTAGACGAGAACCCAGTACGAAGAGTACTATAATCTGCAAAGTTGTGGATAGGAAAAGTAGTTGCGCCCAATAGATGGTTATGAAGTAGAAACAACGTTGGTGATAAAACATTGTCATTTCCTCCACACCACCCAGTATAAATACATAGTACTAAGAGTATAACTACACCTTTGAATACACATGAAAATATTCATAACGGATACTTCTACGAATAATAGGCGATATAATAATATGATATATAGTTTTGATATCAAGAGTATTATAAATGAGCAGTTTACCTCCTCATGTGTGAGTAATTTTGAAACAATCTATCTTATTTCAATAAATATCCAAGTTTGTTTCTTACATATATCTTAGCATGAACAAAATATCATCTGTGACCACAATTACATATTGAATAGCTGACAGACTGGAGGTAATTTGTAGGAGTATATGATGCAGGCGAGATGACGTATTGAATAGAAGAATAATTAATCATTCAGTTGAAACGGAATAACCAAAGATAAATTATGAACATGAGAAAATGGATATACAGGGTGGCATTGAAATAAGTGCAAATATTTCAAACACTGAGAAAGCTCGACGTGTACTATGGAATGGCACTAATAAAAAAAATTAGGGATCGAAATAGAATTTGAGGTTAGACCCCTTCTCCACCCAAAAATCGACACTATATCAAATCTGACGTCACCTCTGTTCAAATTTCCATGACGTAGGCACAATATCATGCGGAGTTCAATCATTTAAATTGTTTTAAAGTGGCGTACTTGATTTTTTTCTCGTATTTTGTTCAATTTTTGGGATGACATTTCTCGTTAATTCTCGAAGAATTAGAAAAAGAAAAAATCTGATATCATGGGAATATTCCTTAGACTGTATCATATTAATGTGCTGAATATGTGCACTTATTTCAAAAACACCTTGTATATATAAAGAAATACATTGAGAATTCGCATTCTTTATGAGATGAAAATATCAATTCTTTCTAGGTTTATTCAACAGAAAACAACTACTTTCCGAGCTACATAATATACATCATTCGACCTGAAATATACATATCTCTGATTCACATCTCATTACTTCTGAAATTCGTTGAGGTTTTGGGCGATATAGAAATATTCAATTTGCGCGTTATTGTTTTCTGTATTTTCTCTAATTCGGGACGTCGTGGATGGTAGTGATACCTAGTATACAATTTGTATTGTCATTATTATGTTGTTGCTGGTTTTGATTTCCACTGTTTTGAATTCTGTTATTTTTGTGGGACCTGTATGAATATGAACTTACTGATAATAGTATGTTTATTGGCTAGCTGAGGGCTCTGAGATCAGAGAGATCATCTTGGGTATGTATTTTTATTTTTGTACTTGGTTCATGTCCTTTTGTTACTTTTCCTTAGGTTCGTTGAACAACCAACATCCATGGAAACTACAAGATATACAGATTTGGTGTATCAAATATGGTAATAATATTTTGATATCAGATTCGAATAGCCTTTTCTTTTCTGATTTCGACGATATGCTACACATTGTGATTTTGATGCAATTTGAGCATATTTTGGCCATCATCAAGTAATATTTGGAATACGGCAACAATAAAATAAAATCGGAAATTCATTTGAAAATAACTAGAAGTCATACCATAAATTCTTGAAGGTTATTTGATTGGTCCTTTATATTGATTCTAAGTCAAGTTGGATGTGCCCGTCATCAGGGCAAGTACATATCTGTATTCATTATACGCAGACAGCAATAACATGAGAAGAACACCGTTTTGCTAAAAATCCCGCTGTGACATTTGTTCATATCTCTCATCTCAGTTATATAAGAATTCCACGATTATTGCGATGATATGGCATTCCAAAAACATCGCGTTTTCAGATTATGATCAAGTTTCACTGAAGGTCGTGCATGAGCGTTTCGCTCTGCACATGTGTTATTATTTGGTGTGAAAAAATGAGAAAGTTCAGTCAGTATAATCAAAATACAATAACACAACTACAGTGATGCTCTCGGTGAAGCTATTTGAAAAATGAAAAAATATATAAATAGATCGAGAGTTATACGAAAAGAACATATTTATTTCAAATTTAATCGAAATATTGCTGGAAACTCGTTACTTGCATTTCTTTCAGAGCAGGTTTATTTCAATAACTTGCCATCTAACCCCACTTTTCGTCTCTTTATTATCAGTTTTCTGTCTTACCAATGATCACGTCACATCTTTCAAATCATTTTTTTGGTTGTCGGATATGTACAATCCCAGCAAAATTCCTCTGAACATTGATGGGCCAGTACCAATAGGAGACTCTGACCGTCATCAGGGCCAGTACATGTCTGCCATCAAATAAAAAAAAGACGACCGCCACGGGATTCGAACCCCGGTTCCCCATTATCACTTGGTTACAAATTTAGCTAGTTCAAACTGAGCTACTACAGCTTTCTTGAAATATTTTTGTACTGAATTTATTTGCGGTTAACTTTCAAATATGAATATTTCATTAATAATTATCATCATCATAACAGATATATACAAACGATGAACAAGAAGAAACATCCGATTCTCCGATGTAATACCGAATTTCTGTCATACCTATTTTATCAGTCAGACGACATGCCTATTTTTTATGGCCGAATTTGATGACTTTATGATATTTAAATGAAAAATGGCTGGATAGCTCAGTGATTAAGCGCTCGACTAGATATCAGGAAGCCGAAAGGTTGCTAGCAGGTTCCATCCCTAGCAGAGAAGATAATTTTGATTTATAAAACGAGTTACAAATTCTAATTCTCGTAGCCTCGGCTGGAGAAGATTCCGCACGATTCTCTGTTGCGTTCCAATTAAAAGTGCTGCTCCTAAGGTGGCGTAAGTAGTTAGTAACAAAGCCTACACAGAACGCACATGGGCTGAAGGACCTGTCGTACGGTCGATGGCCAGTTGGTATGTACATACATATGAACGAAGTACATATACCTACGTACTTACCTCATTTAAATGCAATGAATAAACATTAGTAGTAGTAGTATATGTACTTAGTTGGTATGTATATACATGCTCGAGGGGTCCATCAGCTCATTAGTGTTCTGTGTAGGCTTTGTTACTAACTCCAAACTCCATACGCCATCTTTGGAGCACTACTGTTGATTGGAACGCAACAGCGAATCGTGCGGAATCATCTCCGGCCGAGGCTACAGAAATCATCTTCCGGGGATCCGAGCCTAGCAACCTTTCGATGTTCTGATTACTAGTCGAACAATCACTCGTTTCACTAGAAAATCAAAACGCCTCAACTGCTGCGCAATTCCGTCTTGAAAATTAGATTTTTTAATTGGAACTGAAATATAATCATACTCTTTTTGGTACGGTGCCAGTTAGATTATTGTAAAACGATTTCAATATGCCATATAATTGGTAGACGATTGTATGACGTAGGTAAAACATAATACGAATAGACAGTATTGGCACAGTGCCGATTGAATTATCGCCAAACGATTACAATATGCCATACAATGGGCCGACGTTTGACCAGTGAAGTGTAATCTGCCGATCTATCATGTACTGAACCATAAGGCGGCCAGAGATTTGATGTTTGCTGGGATAGATCACCAGGAATAATCTTTCCAATATTCTAATAATAATAATACACCTTTTTTCCATATGCTGTTTCACTGAACAGTTGTTCCAGATTGTTAATAATTGTTTGAAATACATAAGTTTTACTGAACATAAAATAACATAGAATATGTATTGAAATTAAAGTTTGTTTTAGTGAGAGGAAATTCTCTTTTGATACACCAGATTCGTTTTTATTTTATATCATCGATGACAGCAAACTACAACTCAAGTCAAAACTCCCTTACTTACCCCTGTAAGGCTTTCTCGCCGAAGAAATCCCCTTTACCGAGCGTCCTGATGTACTTGTCTTCGTTGGAGTCGTCCATCTTCATGGTGACCTTCACTTTGCCCTTGCTGATGATGAAGAAGGTGTCACCTCTCGCACCCTGTCTGATGATGTAATCTCCGTTGGCGTACGCCGTCTCCTCCATCACGTCCGCTATCTTGATCAGGGTGTCTTCCGGGAGGGTCTTGAAGATCGGTACACTGAAAGCGGTTGAGTATATTGAATTTACATTATTTCATTTCGAAAGCGCCTGACATTTCGTGTAATTCACTCGGAACAATTACTTTCGATCTCGGTACCATTTCTCGAATGCACTGTCTTATTTTGTCATGTCAGTTATAATTAATTTGAAAAACGAATGGTCCAAAGAGGCGTTCTTCCTCTTGTTGCCAATAACTAACAAATCAACAGGTTTCAAACTGAAAGGAATAAGTAATATAATTTCTATAGAGGTGCCGATTTTTTTTTTCATATTGAACATTCAACATCTTTGTAGTCAACCTCGCAATAATATGAAGTATCTAACCCTTGAAAAAATGGTCAATTGTTGTTGGTGGTTGTGATGGTGGTGTTGTTGTCTCAATGAGTTGGTAAGTACAAAGAAATCAGTTGGCCCTGTAAATGAGATTCTCGCATGACTTTACCTGATTCCGACGATTAGAATTTTGGATTGACATCAGCGACTAATGGGTGATCACTCCGAGAAATTGAGAAGAGTGCAGAATCACCAAACTCTAGGAATTATTGCTGACATGTTGGCTCAAACTCAAGTAGGGTTCCTACTAATGAGGGACAAGTGAAAAAAGGGATCATTTCATTTCCTAGTTACCACTGACATACCGAATACCAACTACTAACTCATTAAACTTCAGTGTATCAGGACCGTTTTGGCTTGGGAAGAAGACGCTCTATTTAGCAACAGGCTATAGGAAGACCTTTCGAATGACAATCCTCATAATGATTATGATATACTCGAGACATTTTGAAGAGAGTGATTTCAGTCATAGTAGAATAGTAGAACAAGGGAAAATGATTTCTCGATGCGGTCGGACAGCCAAGCGGCTCTGGAAGTTCTGGGATCTCCGAGACTAATCTCAAGATGAACACACGAATGCAACTCAATAGCTAGGAGCAACAAAGTACACCTACTCTAGGTACCGGGACACAAGGGCATCGGAGGAAACCAATATACTGATGCTGATGCCATACTAGGTCTCACCCAATACGTCAGCCAGAAGGCTCTGAATGACTTGCTATGGCAACATTCCAGAGGACTTAGGCAGAAGCGGAGGATGAGGCAGCATGCACGACTCCATATCATGAGACCTTGCAAACGACAATCATACAACCTCCTACAACTCAACAGAAGGAAATACGCTTTGCTGGTAGGAGTTTCAACCGGCCACTGTACTAAGGCTCTTGTCGGTGTGGTTGAGGACTCAATATGTCGACTATGCGAGGAAGGTGACGAGACCTCATCCCACATCCTATGCAAATGCCTAGGCTCTGCATAATTCGAGCCTGAAGCAGCTGGGAAAAACCTCCCTGAGCAGAATACTGACCTTCTGCGACGGAATAGAGCTGCTCAGGAAATGACCACGGATACAAGAAATAGAACTCATCCCTGGGCTTGGGCCGGAAACTCTGACGGGGAGCTCCTCCTGACTTCTGGAATAAGCCGGGGAGGAAAATACATCAGGGAAACCTCATGAATGGAAGGAAATCACCACCTCCTTCGAAACCGGATTATTAGAGGTGTGAGACGAAAGAACAGGAATAACACAATGAACCCATCCACGCTGGAACTGGGCGCACTGAGACAGGGTCCACATGGAAACCCATGCGTGAAACTGGTAGCGATCTGGTAGCGATCTGGTATCGGTCTATCGAAAACCCTGGCGGAGGAATACGCCAAAGAGGGGAACACAGGATAGCCTCATGAATGGAAGGAAATCGCCGTCCCCCTCGAGACCAGATTGTTATAGAGGTGTGGGCCAAAACAACAGGGGTGAAACAATGAATCCACCCACGCTGGACTTGGGAGTACTGAAGCAGGGCCCACGTGAAAACCCATGCGTGAAACTGGTAGCGGTCTGGTACCAGGCTATTGAAAATCCTGGCGGAGGGCTTCTACAGACTTCTGGAATAAGCCGGGGAGGGAAACACAAGGAAGCTTCATGAACGGAAAGAAATCACCGCTCCCCCTCGATACCAGATTGTTAAAGGTGTGGGACGAAACATCGAGGGTAACACAATGGATACATCCACGCCGTCTAAGTGAATCTAGGGCTTCAGAGAGGTCGCCCTCTGATTCCAAGATCGAAAATCCTATGCGGTCAGTAAGTTAAGCAGAAATCTGAGCCGAAAATATTCAGAATGGATAGTATATGTCTGCTCTCCAGATCTGTTACTTTCAGTTAATTTTGTTGATTCGGGAATGAAAAATCAGTAGTTTGAGACAGTTGAATTCGGAACATAGCCTCTATAAGTGTTATGTGTTAGGTTTACCTCTTCAGGAAGTCCGTGTACTCGGCCTGCCTGATGAGGCCCGTCCGCATCATGATTGTCTGGAAGCATTGTCGCTCGATGGCCCATAGCTTGCAGTCCGAATGAGCTTTGATGGTGGCAGTACGTTGGCAGTTGTAGAGGATGGCCAGCTCGCCCAACACCTTACCGGCGTCGAGGATGCTTAGAAACTTGTTTTCTCTAGATACCTCGACTTTTCCCTCTGCAACAAACAAATTTTAAATGATTTCCGTCGACTTCATATCAACAAGTTTGATTAATGTACACGAAATTTATCGTTAATGACTCCTTATTTACGATCAAACGCTCAATTTGTCTTTGATAGATTGTGGTAAGTATAGGCAACCAAACATACATCCATACATTCCATATTGGAGACTAGTTGCTTACATGCAATCGTATACTCTATTTCTACCATCACGAGCTTATATTAATATGAAATTAACAAAAAACTTGACGAAACTATTTCACTGTTGATTTTGTTTTTGTTAATTCTTTATAGTATAATATCCATAATAGTAGATTGTTTTATCAGGATCAAAAGTGATACTTTGTTTGACAAACGAATTTTTAATTTGAGAGGCGGGCCGTCTAGCGTAGCCGAGCGGAAGCAAAATTTGCGAGTCAAACAAAGTCACTTCTGATCTGAATGAAACATGCTATTTTATATTCGAATAAATATGTGAAGTAACCATCAATGCCGTGCCATATGCATGCAATGCAACAAATAATCTGTGTGGTGAGCATATTCTACCTGCATTAATAGATGAAGTTTATTCAATTTTCAAGGATGTACGAATTGTGGTTTCAATATAGATACAACCACAGAGTGACATATTTGTGTATGGACCAGGTGCTCTATCAGCAAATACCGCGCCAGTGCCAGGTAAAGGAAAAATACGTGGAAAATGTTAGGTTAGTGAGCATATCAACAATAATAATAGCGATTATTTATTCCTCTTCATACTCCACTTTGTTTGGTTCGATAATCAAATGTAGGTAAACAATATCGTTGTTGGAGAACAAAAAAAACTATTGCTGGCAGTGATTATTCAAAAACAAGTTATCCATCCCGAGAATGAAATACAGATCAAGCAAATATGTGAATCTTGAAGGCTTTCCTGATCAAAACAAATTATATCTCCAGCATAGGTATGAAATGCTAAATCTGCCGAAATCGGAAACAAATCAGATAAGCTTCCCAACCCAAATAATCAACCGTATAACTTTGTTGTTTATTCTTGATGACCTCTAGTACATCCTTTCAACTTTAGCTCCTAGGAACTAAATGTGTTGTCTAGCAACATACCTATATTTGTGTCCGTAATAGAAACGTCAATTCAAGAGCTAATTTTGGTATTAAAATGGACGACTTTTGTGTCGGTTGCAGAAAGAAAATGTTTAAATGGTTTTGGAAGCCGATATGGACTTTATTATGCACGTCCATTTGAAAGTACAAGGATTAAATAGATAGGGAAATATAACGCCTACCTGGGGTAATAATGTATCGATAATTTTATTTTATTTTATCTATACACCATCCAACAGCCGGAGCCAATTACAGGATGGGAAGGATAAACAATTAATTACAAATTAGATACATACTAGATTAATACTAACTATACATAAGTTTCATACTAAAGTGAATGGAGGGGCATAATGCAGACTGAAAATGAAAATGAAAATGCTTTCATTGAGGAGATATTGATAACTTGAAATCCGTATATCATCAGGCAAAGTTGATCCGAAAGTAGTCACAGTTCATGAACTCATTATATGCTTCAGCGAGTCAACCAAATCTGTTCATTCATAGTGGGTGTATCTTATTGCCCTTTCACTCCTTGACAAAAAGGTACATTAAGTAATTATTCTTGACGGTTTTCATCAATTGACCCTCCTTCACATTTCCTTCAATTAAACACGTGAATGAATCGATGTTCAAGACTTCCTGTTCTGCTTTTTGAGCAATCACAAAAGGAGTATGCTTATATTCAAATAGGCATCAATCTCGAACTACTTCAAACAGCTATAGCGGCATTAAACTGTACTGCCTACACAGTGGCGTTCCTTTCATCTGAGAGGGTACTAGCCATTATGAACGAGTAGAATACAATATTTTATATATACCCTGATTTGTAGATGCGTGGTTTGTAATGCAATATCGCTGAATCTAGTGTATCAAAAACTTATTGAGAAGTATTTCTAGAATTGATGAACCGTTCGGTATTATGCCATTTTATAAAAATATAGTATGCAAAATGAACCATATTATTGCAGATCATTCATCTCAGAGCATCATTTTTTATCTTGTGGAGCGCGTAGATCAATGTAGGATAGGAAGAGGAGAGGTAGGTATTGATGTTTTGTAGAACTTTTGGAGGTTATAAGATCTTGAGAATACTTCCCTGAGCAAATATTCCTAAAGCTTTGTCGTTCTATAGGTGAACGAGTTTTGGTAGTGAGTTGTTATATATATACAGACGATTAAACGTATAGATGGATTTTTGGGTTGTTGGGATTTCTCATAATATACGGATGAGATTTTTGGGTTGCTGGGATATCTCATAATATACTGATGAGCGAAATCAGTAAGAAATGTCGAGCCGAGATAAATCAGGATTATTCCCAAAAGCACGAAAAAATAGTTCGCCGTCTCATTCTTTTGCGATGTTCCTGCTTGGCAGTTGGCAATGGCAATTTACTGTGTTTTTTCTTTTTTTTTGAACAATGATATTTTCAAATGCGGGTTAGAAAAATGGTTTAGTTAAATTAATCAGATTAGTTTTTCGGTATTCTTCCTTAGTGAGAAGTTAGATATTGGTACTACCTAGGGTCCCTTGATGGAAAATGACGTTAAAGTCATCTTAACAGGGTACGGGCCAACCTAACCTGACTCATTTTGGACAACAATTTTTTTGTTTAGCAAGGCAGTATTGCGGTCAGTGCAACAACAACCTAGTATGAGTCCGGTTATGTCATAGCGTTTACGCGTAGACCAGTGGCGTACCTACGGGGGGTTAAGGGGGATATATCCCCTCCCATATACCGAAAGAGAGTCACCATTTCTCTCCACGTATTACATTTTCATATCTGTAAGTATTTCGTGACATTGGTCGTTGTGTGAGAGTGGCTTCAACATCAGCAGTTCTTCCAATAAACATTTAAAATCTCAGGAACAAATCCATTTAGAATATATTGGATTTTTTTACACGGTGCATTATCAGTTACATATACATATATCTACTGATATTTCTACCTGATTTTCCTAAAATTATTATCAAAGCCGAAATCAAAATGTGACACTAACATTTTGGAGAGATCACTGAGGGATGAAATCCGTCCAAACCTCTTTCAATCGATGAATAATGTTTTACATTTCATGTACAATCAATATTATGAGTTAAAGTTGCAGTGACTCGAATATATGGAGAGATCTATGGCGTTTTGAAATCAGCATAGGTATTCTATTCGATATTCCAAAAAGCCATATATGAAGGTGTGGAGCCGTGACGTATAAGTCTCGAACTGTAGCAATGTGTTGTAGTGCGGTTGGTCAGCTCAAGGACAATAGGCGTGTTGGGGCTAATACGTCACACCGCAGTCACCCCAATCAATTGACACCATTTCAAATGGCGTAGGAGGTATGTGTTTCGAAATAAACATATTTTAATTTTTCCATCGTCCCAGTAGGAATGAAAAAATTCAAAATATACTGGTAGTAGTTTCAAAAAATCAGTGGTGTCCCCCATTATTGTAGTTACCAATAATAATAAATGAAAATGTCTTTTGGAAAATAAATTCATCCTTCCCCCAAGGTTCTGGGAACGCCACTGGCGTAGACAGAATAATTGAATGACAAGAGAATGTAATAGTCTAGGTTATAGATTACATTGTATTTACGATACTTACATCCTAAGAATGATGACCTAAAGATAATGTGTTCTTTTTTGGCTAGCTCAAGGACACGAATAGGTACACTGCTGCCTAAATAGATCGTAACGACTCTTGATTTATTTAGGTTTTTTTTTTGAGCCCATGTACTATTCATCGTTTAGGCACAATGTCGATCTACCCAAGGGTCCACCTCGTTAATATTTTATGACCTGATTCAAGTGTTTAAGGTGCATTCAATTAGCAAGAACTTGAGCAGTATTTGTTTAAAGATTACAATCCCTTTTGATAATAATTATGATAGAAATGGCAAAGGCTGTTTTCAAAATTTTATCTGGCATTTGATGGTTCTATGTGAATGCGAGATACTCAAATATGTTCTCAACGTTACACAAAGTAGTAAGTTGAAGTTAAAAATTTTTTTGAACATATTTTGATCTGTGGCAATAAAAGTGTCTTTATTATTTGAAGTCTTACGAAAAATAGCAAACATGTATTGTAGATCTTTTAGGTCGCAGTGTATTCACCCCTTATGCATACAATACAATACAATTGTCAAATAAAAAACAGAATAACACCAAGTCAGTCGTGTTATAATATAAATAAACGAAACATTGTTCATTATTCTGTATAGAAACCATCAGCAGCAAGCAACGGTTCGGCATTGATTCAACCAAATTCCTCATCATCTTCAGGAAGTTCATCCCAAACTCTCCCTATATAATAAACTACGGAACTTCGTTTCATTTTATAGCGAGCAATGTATGCTTGAAATTTGTCACAATGTTATGTAACACCGTGCAGATTTTGTTGAAAATAAAATCAGCCGATGACGGGCATCGAATCCTTCAAGAATGCATTTTACGAATCATATTATTACATTTTTTCGTTTAGTTCGACGATATAGTTTCAATAATGATAATCAATGTTTCAACTACCGGCATTTAGATAAGATTAGATTTGGAATGGGGCCTTCGGGCTATCTGCCTCCACACTGCGACCTTTTCAGATCTATTGTGTCTGCCCTCAAAATCGATTAGACTTCTTCGGCTAGCCCCGCCTTCTCTATGAGACTCCATAGACTAGCTTTCAGATCTCCTGTGTATCTCTGGGCTCCTGGTTTTTCCTCACCCAGCGTAAGTAACCTTAGTCTTGACAAGCCCTCACAGTGGCAAAGTATGTGTACTGCTGTTTCTTCCTCTTCTTGACAGAACCTGCACAGCAGTTCTTCAGTCAGACCTATCGTACTCATGTCCTCATGTGTTTGTTGAGCCTACAATGCCCTGTGAGAAGTCCCACTAGTATTCTAGTTGAACTTCGTTTCTGGCTTAGTAGATATTCTGTAAATGTT